GGTGCCCTGAACTGCAGCTCCGTCCGTGCTGTCGTGAGAACTGTCCCACACCCTGGCCGGTGTAGCTCCGTCCTGTAGTGGGCTTCTGGTCAGCTGTCCATTGGCCCTGCCTGGACTGAAGCTGTGTGCTGACTCCAGCACAGCAAGGTCACTCACCTGGGCAGGGAGACAGTGCTTGCTGCACCCGGTGGGTTTCTCTCAAGGATGAGATGGAGCGGAGTGCGCACAACTTCCCCAGGATCCTTCCCGCTTTTGATCCTGCTTTTATTTGAATGACAGTTCTCCAGTAAATCAGCGGCTTAGCACAGTGGGTTGTGTGTGTGGTGGTGCTGCAGCCGGCAGGTCAGCTGCGTCTGTTAGTAACAAGCGTTGCTGTCGGAATTGTTCTTTGAACCACTGATCCTTTTCAGAGGCAGATACTTCTTTTACATCTTTCCAGGAAATTCACACGACAGATACTTGATGTAAGGCTCAGAATGTACCTTAGGTTTTTTCAAACTCATGACATGAGTGCTTGACCAGTTCATTAAAGAAGACTCCCAGTGTTTGAGTGTGGCCATACATGGCAGCGCTGAGACCCCTCCCCCATCTGTTCTTGCTGTGCTTTGCGTCTCCTGCCAGTGGGGAAGCGAGAAGGATGTGAGGAGCCCGGCTGGGTCTGCTGTATTTAGCAAATCGCTTCAGTCACACTCAGAACTGTGCTGATCCAGAGTAGTCGGGCGTTTCTCACTCAAGCTGACACAATGAACTCTCACAGTCCACCCCTTGGCAACTTGAGGAACAGACACATTTCCTTAAACCATACTTAGTCTCCACATACAAAGACACATTCATAGTCACGTCCAACATGTTACAACTCTCCTATGTACAAACAGACACTCTAGTTCCCTCCCTAGAAGACAAGGAGGCTTTTCTTTGGGTAATGCTTTATCCGAACATTTTATAACTTAACATTATAACATAGGCTTAACAATACTTAACCAACATTAAGTCTGTCAACATTATATTACATGGGGGCTGGGGATTTAGCTCAGCAGCATGGCACCTGCCTGGCAAGCAGGAGGTCTTGAGTTCGATTTCGGGTACCAGACAAAAACCAAAAACATTATATTGCATGGGAAGCATACTAGGCGAACACCATAGAAATTACAATCCTCATTTCTGTAACTGCTCACAAAGTCATGGCTGGTATTTATAACTACCTTCTTCCATCACCCCTTCTGTATTCCCTTGGTGTTCATCAAGCTCCTCAGCAAGTCTTGCTTCTTTTCCTGGTGGGGTGACCCAAACACTCATTCCTGAAGGTTCTGGACCATTTGTCCCCCTCCCTAGATTGTGTTGTAGGTTTCCGCTGACCTTAATAATGGCATAGTAGTACTAGGAGACCTCCTAAAGTAAGTCCTGTGCTCCAAGTTTTTATTCCTTTCCCCCATTAGGGAGTAATAGTAATTTCCCTTGATGCACCCTTGATAGTCTGGGTCAATCACCCCTGCCAACACTGTTGTAACTCTCTTTGTCACTTGGTTGGGCAGGAGACACCAGAAACAACAGGGGCTATGTCAGCTTCAAGTTCAATGTGTTCCCTGGTATGAGCCTTACCCCGCTCTGGAACAAAGACTGCTAGGTCAGCAGAACATAAGGTTGTGGGATTAGGAAGCAAAAATACTGCTGGTGGTCATCCAAATAATAGTGAGTGCCCAGATGCCTATGGCCCCTACTGCTGCCACACTGATTCCCATTGCCAGCCCCTGATTTCTGGAGCATGTATCCTGGCTGTGGGAGGCACAGTACCATAAAGTGGATGATGAGTCAAAGCTTATGCAGCCTTTTAGAGAGTCCTACCCTAGCTTTGCAGTCATATGTCCATATTGTCCATATTGTCCATATGGAGAGGGCTGTCCACATACCTCTTCCCCAAATATCTTTGTCACCAGTTTTTCACTTAGTTGGAAGTATCACTACATCGTCAAAAGGCCGTTCTACCTTTCCATCAATCCAGCTGCTTCTGCTTGTGAGGACCGTGGTGAGACCAGTGAATGCATGAGCATGAGCCAAGTGCCTTGTGTCTTTGGCCATAAAATGATTCCTTGGTCACAGGCAATGCTTTTGGAATAACACAAGGGTGAATAAGGCATTGTGTGAGTCCATGGGTTGGAGGTTTGGCAGAGGCATTACATGCAGGGAAGGCAAATCCATACCCAGGATAAGTGTCTATGCCAGTGAGGACAGTGCTGCCCTTTCCATGA